GTTTGTTGCATTCATAGCACATACGTTGGAACCCCTTCTTATTTTTGCCATCATCATAAGGCCTCTTCTTATCGTTATATTGTCCTTTGTGTGGTTTGGAGGACTCCCCATGTTCAACAACATTAATCTTGCCATCTTGAGTGCTAGGCTCCTGGATTCATCTTGCACGCGGAACTCTTGTTCTACACGAAGATGATTAGCAAGTTCTTCCATGGACATGTCCTCCTTTTTGTGTTTAAGACTCCGCTTGGAGTCTTTCCACGATGAGTGTAGTTTATCAATAATAGAAGATACTATAAAGGTTTCATCTATCAGAGTTTTGTGTTGGACGAAACGGCTTACAATACGCTGAATTTCATGAAATTGATCCATGACTGACTGACCTTCTACCATCTTATAATTATTAAATTGTGAGACAAGGAATTTCTTACTAGAGGCATCTTCAGACATGTACATATTCTCAAGAGCATCCCACAGTTCCTTAGCAGTCTCAACATGTTGATATATATCGAATAAAGCATCCGACATTCCACTCAATATATGGCCTCGACAGATGCAGTCATCAATATCCCATTTCATCCTTGCCCTTGTGCTTTCTAATGGTTCCTCTTCGCCTTCATTGGCCTCCGGTGGACGAGCGGTGGAAATCACATACACAACCTTTAGTGTTGTCAGGAGGATGTGCATTTTCTTTTGCCAACGACGAAAATTAATACCACCAAACTTGTCAAGTTTGGAAAAGTTGGTGGTGAGATCTTTCAGGGAAGACATGATGTTAATTCTCTTTGATTGTTAAAGAAATCAGGGTGTTTGTGGTGAAAAATCTGGATATGCTTCAAGCCGTATACCTTGTTAGGAACGCTTTTCAAAGAGAATTTTTTGTCTCTTACAAATACTCTCTCGGGATAGAATGATGTAAAGCCAAGAAGAAATAATAAATCAGATCTCCAAACACACAAGTATCAGTACTGCAGTTACCAAACTTATGCAGTTTTTCTTAAGGAAGAATGTTGGTACTCGAAATATATCGCAGGGTATCTTATGCCAAGGAGTGTTCCCCTATTTATAGAGGATGTCTATTTCTCAAAACTACTGGAAAAACACCAGAAAACACAAACCAAAAAGGTGCAACGAATCAGCCTAAGTGATACTCAAAGCGACGCAACGTTTCGCAAAGCAACATGTTGTATCAGAACTTTAAGCCAAATAACCGTTTCTTTTGCTTATTCCTCCTATTTTCTCTTGAAAATTCCAACATGCACAGATCTTTAAGATTTTCCAACAAAATTTTCTAGCAAAACTCCTTTTTTCACTGGCTAGGAGACGAGGGAAAGAGCCATGTTGTTCTGTTTATCTGTTGGAATAGCCGACAAGGGGTTGGGTGGGAAAGGTTATGCGAAGAAGACAAAGAAGAGGGGGTAGGGGTGACGTCTGGCAACGAGATTAGAGACACCTGTGGGTGGGAGACCGTGACAACTTGGGGACGACGGGTTCTTTTTTGTTACTTTTTTATTCTTTTCTCCAAAGACTTTAAATTATTTTGTGTCAAAGCCACGTGTCTTTTTTTAATTGGACTATTTTGCCACGCCAGACGCGTGTAATCCACACAATATATTGGCACGATTTGAAATAAGTTCTAGTGTGTAATGGAAAATAGGCTAATTTTAAGTGTTCGAGTGAAAAGTACTGCCAAGTTTCAGTGCATGTCTATGTATTAGGCCTAAAATCAAGGTTCTCATACATAGCCTCATATAACATTAATGCTATATCGGAGATGATCTCCCCTTGAGACTTGAAACAAAATTGTTTATGTTCGGGATATTGCTTATGGCTATAGTGATTGGTCGAATCAATATGAAGACTTATGGGGTCATTAAGATGTAACAACTTTTTATTAAATTCTTTTGGCAATTATAGGATGTGACATAAGGTAAGTAAAAAGAGACGGGAAGAAAGAAAATAAAGCAAAAGAAACGTGATTTGACAATGACTGAGAAAAAAGTAAATAATTATAATAAGAAGCAACCTGCAAAAGAAATAGAAAGCATAACTTTTGGTTGCATTCGAATGCAATATATTTTGATTTTTAATTAATCAATTTGTATAAGCCTCAACAAAATAATATTACTTAAATTTGTCACATTTTATGTGACACGGTTTTCACATGAAGTAGAGCGCGCTAAGGAGTAATTTTTTTTTACCGTCATGCACCTAGATTATAATGTTACTGCAGATTTTGCGATCGGAATACCTGAATCTAAATAAGGATATATAACATAATAGAAACCATGGGTGTAATTTTTAAATTTTTCCTCCATGTGGGTTTTTTCCTTTTCTATTTTAAAATTTTAATTTTTTTTACTGGAAGATCCGTTCATAGGAGAAAAAACGGTTCAACGTCTGCATATTTCTCTTTCTTTTCTCTTTCTTTTTCTATCTCTCAGTAGGGTGAGGGTGTAGGGATCAAGGACAACACAGCCAGTTTTCTGGAAATTGATATGCTGTTAAACTTTAATTAAGTCCAGTTCCAAAATCAAGATTTCGTACTAGTAATAGGATAGGAAATGAAAGTAACCCATTTATTGTTGGAAGATCGGCATAATACTCTATCACTTTCATGTTTATGTGATTTTATTTGACTAGATAATAAATTTAAGGAAGAAATAAAACTTTTAAAAGTTGTGATCTTAATTAAACACATCATAATATTTGTGAAATTATAAGAATGAAAATTTTAAAATATGTGGTCTTAGCATGTCATAACATTGGTTGTATAACTATAAAAGGTGTTTTTGTTAAGGCAAAATAAGAATGCTTAAGCTAAATAAATTTTATATTTATTAAAGGGTATTTTTTTAAACGAAAAGAAAAATAATAGAATCATAAACTAGGAGAAGGGAATATATGCGTTTTGATATACCTTTGTCCTCTAGATAAAGGTGAAAAGCCAAATGTTGTCCTTTTCATCCTTGTTCGTACCTTTATTCCCTGCCCGCATTAAGAAACTACGATGAAGTTGCCTCATACACACATCCATTGTTGAATTTCATCTTCTTCTTTTGTTGAAATTACTATTTTTAATTGTTACATTGCATTCATACACGTCCTAATTAAAGATAAAGATGCTCCATGCACGCTACTCTCTCTCTCTCTCTGTAATTTGTTATACTAGTACTTACTACTAGTATAATAGATTCTGCAGAAGAAACCTCTCGAATATGGAATAGAATAAAGCAATAAAGAGCATTTCATGCTAGTATCACTAACAAAGTTATGCACTTAAAATTTAAAATTTGTTTCTATTTCAAAACATTTAAATTGCATCAGACGAGATTTTAGCCAAATCTAATCTCCCTTTCCGAGCTCCTTTTCTTTGGCTTGCCTTCGGGAGAGTGGTATAGCCAAGAATCCGAAACTGTTCAAACTTTAAATAAGTCAGTAATTTTTTTTGTCGATGAATGGTGTACCAATTTTTTTAAATCAAACTAAGCAATATTTAGCTAAACAATTAAAAAAAATTAATAGAACAATAGTTTTATAGATCAAAGTTAAAATAACAAAAAGAGAACATTAAAATTTTTATTAATAAAGTAAGCATAAAACCAAAGGAAAGAGAGAGTCGAGAGACTTTGTAGTTTGTAGAGAGGAAGAATTTTTTGTAGAACTTGACTTTTAAAGTATAAAATTTATTTAAGAAGATCTTTTAGTTAATAATTTACTTTTAAGATGAGTTGTTTATTTTTACATAAATTTTGTTTAAAAGTTATTTTATTAAAAAACTTTAGATAGAAAAAGAATCAAATAGTCCGCACATGGTGGTCGGTCTCTGTTTAGTTTTGACAAACAAAACCAGCATAACTTTTAACAGGTGAACAACACGTTACTTTGAACAACATGAGCCGCTGGACAATCTCACTCTTTGTTAAGAGTGTTTAAAATATTATATATATA